CCCTTGACGCATCGCATAAATTATAAATTCCTGTGTCTGTCCGCTTATTGACAATAAAAATTAGCCAATGAGCGCGCGAGAATTTCTGCAGTTATCGTAAAATTAAAAATTGATTGGACTGCGTTGATTCTCACGTGACTTTCTCGCGTGGAAAGGAGGGAGCTTCGTAGGCAGAAATGTTTGCGTAAATCAATAAGTCAATCAATCATTTAGTTATTTTAACACATTTCGTCGAGGAGCTAAGAACTCGTTCAAAATACGAACATGTATAAATGAGAACTATAGTAATTACAGCTTATAATATTATTCTATTCTAGCTAATAATGTTATTCGTCATGCAATTAAAAAAAGTAACAACTTTATTTCATCCCAGAGTTAGAAGAGAAGAAAAATTTACAATGTCATACCAAGGCAAAAATGATAGGGTTGCTGGCTACCCAAAATACCTTTATCTTACACAAGTCGTAAGAGAGTCTGCGTTGGAGGCTTGCGAAGAGGTTGTGAGGGATATCAGCGATGACGCTCTGAGGACATCACCGGCGTAAGCTGTTCCAAACATTGGGCGCCCTAAGTCCGGGTACGTGTCATGATTTACGAGCTTATAAACCGGCACAATGGGACTATGGGACATTGTTTCTCTCAAGTAAGAGTCTGTTGAAACTATTTATTGGACTTGACTTAAGAGTTTTCATAACTTGATAAGATTGTGAAAAGTACCTCTTGGTCATCGCTGAGACTTTTCTGTGTTACTTCCAGACAGCCGGTCACAACAAAATACAAACTACAATCCTGCCAATAAGAAATCGAGGACACTTTGTTAGAGCGTATATTAACTGTTGATATATAATGATAATTCTTATCAGAGTTCTAGGGTCACTGCAGATTTTTACGAAATTTCAAGCAGGAAGTTATGTTGACTCTAAACAAGTCGTAAGATGTAGTTCTTCATAACTTGCCACTGATAAGAGAAATTAAGCGCAGCAAGGATGCGTAATGCAGTGTATCTAAAAAGAGAGTCAATAATCAAACTATTAGAGCGAGGACAGTCGAACGGAACCATGAACATTTATCTTTGTTTTTTTTGTCTTTTTTATGATTATCCAATGACGCCTCTTCACGCAAACAAAAGGGTATCTTTTTTCCCTTTCATTGCGCAGTCATGAAACAAATGCACATAAAAATGTCACGCGTTCGTGGTTTGAGTGTCCTCACTGTCTTGTTTCCCTTACCGCATCGCCTTGCTTGATAAGGACAGTGCCTGAAGGAATACTTGCTATGGAAAGAATGCCTTCCAACAGTGAAGAATCCTGTAAATAAATCACACACAATTCGGATACCAATACTTGTTTTCAATCAAATTAAAAGACCTACACAGTAGCGATTACATAGCTCCAGCGATTACGTGTCTCAATCACCAATGGTGGAAAAGCGTTTGATTCTCGTTTTTGAGTATGCTTGTTTCACTGAATGATTTTTTCTTCGTTTTAAACTATTACTTCTCCAGGGATAGGGCAACGCAAAACGCGAAAGACTCGCGTTAAAAAGGTGAGTTGAACACCAATAGGTACATGAAAAAGAAAGACTTCCTTTCTCAATTTTCTATCCTCCAGTTTTCGTCTGGTCAATACAGTTTTTCTCGAAGTTTCAACTTTTCACTCGATGATCCATATCGTGAGAAAGGGGGACACTTCGTGCTGGTTATCTAAAGCACGGTTCACTCTACATGCGGTACATGCTTTCTATTTCTTAAACATAGCCGTATTAGATTAGCCAATGGTCGTACCGGTAAATCAAGACTCTTGGCTATCTCACTTGCCGCCGTCTTCATCATCATGTCCTCTTCTTCGGGGTCCATGGTTAGAAACTGTTTGGATAGGTCCTCACTCACGGGGGTGCACGGGAAGTCAAAGCGTCCCTCACTAAGGGAAGTGGGACTGCCTTCTGTGTCACTGCCTTCCAGATCAAATGTAGCCAAGCGGTTGGGTGATTCTGGGAGGATGGTAATCCGTGCCCGGCCAAGGGCTGCGTCAAAATCAGATAGATCTGTAAACAAAGGTCAAACCGGTTTAATAGTCAGAAAAAAAACCCTTAAAGCTTTCACTCAACACTCAAGACAATACACACGTAACATTCACCTGATAGGCTGTCGGTGTCGTTCCCAATCCCCCACATAGTTTCCAGCGTCGCTGCCGACTTACAGCGTCCAATTTGTTTATCCACTTTCCGTTCGTGTTCAGGCTCTGTGAAGCTAACGCTCCGATGTAAGGGCACCTTCTTTATGGCAATTGGTTTACTACTCTCCTTGCCCATGATTCCACGTGGTTCTCCTGAAGTTAAAATGATGCACAATAAGTGAGACACTAACTAAAGGCCTTCTATACATAATTATTTAGTAGAATTCTACTTGAACACTAATGCAAATGCTGCAATCTGATTGGCTGAGTAATCGAACACTATCAGCCATTAGTGTGAAGTTTTGGAGGAACATTTTGATGCAAATGGAAATTATATTCTTGAGAGGACTAAAAGAAGTTCTTGACTTAAAAAAAAAATTGGAATTATTGAAAAAAATTATGCGCGCACACACAACTGCAATTTCAAATGACAATTTAATACGAGCGATCTGCCTAAGTCGCAAAGTTTATTAATACACCGAGAAATAATTGGAAACCATTATTTAAAGTAAATTTCATGTAGAATTCTACTAAAACAATTAGATTATTCGTTCTCGATTTCTAATTGTTAAATAGCTAATGGTTTTCTTTGCTCTCTTTACAAGTTTGCTTGATAATATATAGATACTGTAAGGAGAAGTTACATGTAGATCTAGGTACCTTTTTTCTCCTCTTTATCCTTGGGCATGTTAATAGCTGAGTCAGGAGTTGTTGTTTTACTGCTTGCTGCACTGTTCGTACCAGAGTCCACCTCTAAAGGAATCTTCTTTGCTGTCTTCTGACTCTCTGTACCTGCAGCAGCTTCTGGTTTCTTGCCTTTTATCGGGCTCGAGGTGATGCCATAGATTGACGGTCGTCGGCGAGAGGCTGGGCTCTAAGCATGCACACAAGATAACATATAATTTCCTAATATATTTGCACTTATTCTTCTTGTGGCAATTTAAAGTACTTTGAGCAAATCACATATGTACATGTGAAGTCTAACTCGTTGATATATTTTGCCGTCCAAGTGCTGTACTTTACTGCTACTTGTTAACACAAACAGTTAAACTTACGCTGGCTATAAGCTCATAACTGAGTCCCAAGAAGTTGTGAAGCGCCATAAATGTAACTTGCTGAAGACGAAGCATGATAATCTGTAAAATAAATAAATTCATGAAAAGAAGTGACTAGGTCATGAACATTCCGCGCTCGCATAGCACAGAAAAAATGTTGCTTTACAGTTCTCGTAACACATAAACGAAAAACCTCTACAACTACTATTTTTACTTGGTTCTCAAATTACATATGAGCAGAAAAGAAAAATTAACCTTCAAGCAAATGCAAATGGTCTAAAAAATACCTCATTGTAATTGCTCCGTTAACGACAACGTTTTACAAGGGGCTAGGTTTTAAACAAAGTACGGCAAGATTTTTCATGGGACAAACCTGAACGACTCTGACCAAAGAATCCGGATGCTGTTCGAAAACTGTCTGGAAGGCTTTTCCTGGTAACCTGGAATACAAAGTACATAAAACACATAAAAATATACCAAATACTAAAAGAAGGCAGAGGATAGCTCACGAGTGTGCGGGGAAAGTGAAAGTACTAGTCGCGTTACGGCGTAAAACAAGTGTTACCGATGTTCACTTACCTTAAGACGTGTGTATCAACAACTGCCCGACAGCATATTTGGGGCAAAGCCATTGGGTGACCCTAAAAAAGACGCGATAAGTAAGTGATGAAACTAGGAAAAAGAGTGCAAGTTTCCCTAGGGAAAGACTTGGGGGATGCGGGGAAATCGGGGGATGTGGGAAAGGCAAGAGACGCGCGGTTACAACTTTCACTGGGGCGTTTTCTGGCTACCTTTACCCTTACCCTCTTTCCAAAGTCTAGAGTTGGCAAGATAAATAAATTAATTATGAACGCGTGGTATAATTCAAGCCTAAAACGTTACATGAAAATAGGAAAAAAAAATCAATATATATAGTGACTAAACACGTTGTATTACGCAATTTTCTTGTTTACCTTCTTGGGATGAAAAAGTAAAAAACAAAAAAAACAGTACAACTTACTGTGAGAAGGTCCAATATGGTAAGCACGCTATAGATACTCTCTCCTGTAGGTACTTCCTTCATACACACCTCTGTGCCATCCTGGTTACACACAAATATAATAAACGCACAATTAATCAGCACCCGCTACATGCAGTTAAAAAGAGACTGAGATCCATTGTAACCCTAATAAAACGAACGGTCCATGAGTTGGAAGATGTATCCTTAAAAACTCTACTGTAAAAGCAACATTGAGATTCTTTCCCCTTTTTGCTAGTTTTACCAAGANTGTGATTGTTACGATTGTCTGGGCACACTTCAAACAGTTGTCATCTTGGCTTCATGCATGGCAAGTACAATTTGAGGACATTTCCAAATATGTACTGTAGGGATCACATGGTGTTGGCTGGCTTTGGGGGAACGGGCAGGGGAGGCTCCCCCACCCCCTATGGCCTTGACAAACACATCAGTGGACAATCTCATAAGAGTTGTTTTTTAAAGCTAGAGTCAGGTTAAACACTCACTTGACACTCTTCAGCATGTACACAACTTCTGGAGGAAGACGAGGCTCATTGACATCAACCTACAAATAGTAAAGTTATTTGTGAATAATATATGTAATATATGAGACTATTCAGTAACACATGCCAAGAAACAAGTAATATTTTGAGTTGTCTTTAAATCAAGGGGGAAGAGCCAATCAAGCCTTCTGGTATGCGTACGTAATTAATAACCTAACTGTACAACTACTACACAATCTTTCTACTGAATATAAATATCCATAATTTAGTGTAGGTCTGAGTTTGCTGTACCAATGAGTGAAGCTAGATATAGTGTAAGCCATTTACTTTTGATGCCAGTGGAGAATTATGATCAAAGTGGCTATGAGCCACTCAACTTGGAAAATGGATCATCTGTAAAGTAGCAATTTTGATGCCACTGAATATAGGTTTTAATCCATAGGTTAAGTTGAAGTTAAAGCCCACTGGCATTGTTAAAAAATAGTGCACAACACAATGGTAAGAGAATACCCTGTTCGGCCGGGTTTCTTCTTGGCTGGGTGACCAAACACGAATACACCATGTTGTAATAACTCCTTTTTCTTTTGTTTTTTCTTCCCTTTCCGTAAGGAAATCGTTTCACCTTCAGACTGAATATAGTTTGAACTTTGCTATGACTGCAAAAGCTTTATACATTGGTCAGCAGATTCAATCACAAAAAAAGTCTAACAGGAATCAACGGAAGGAAGGAAGGATGTAGTGAAACTCGCATCCATGCCTCAACTTGGATTTTCCATGTTAAAAATGAAAGACAAAACAAATCTACTGTAGATTATGAATATCACTATTACCTCTGCCACATCAGCTTCAAGGAATGCAGCTGGAGGCTGCTTGAGCTGTCTTCCTGGCTCATTGTTATCAAATCTTAAAAGCCTTGAGACAAAAGACTACAGGTAAATGATTATCTTGCAATTTACTTTAAACTTAAGGTACACATACATGTACATACAATGTATCTTACAATGGCATTGTAAGATATGCATTATGTGTTCAATGTTCTTAACAGCACAGGAATAGCAAGTGACCTCTTGGATGTGTTAATGTCTGAAGCAATTAAATATTGTTATAAGAACACAATAAATATAAAATGACTTGTCTCAGGCATGTCTCAGTCTCAAATGCAGACATCTCTTGATGACTGTGCACTCATTTCCACCACTGACAGGAAAGATATGTGGCATGGAAGCCTACTACATTCTGATGTACATGTATAACTGTTGGTCTGAGAGTGTGTGTCAGGGTGCACTAAGCTTAAACAGGTAACTGATTTATCAATTATTGCATGTAAAGTCATGCAGTATATATTAACTTTTAAATTAACATCTGAATTCCCCATCCAAATCGAATGACAAAGGTTTTAAACATCAACAATGAAAATTTTACAGCATGACCCATTATACAGCCCCTTAACCATCCATGGAGATATTGTCTTAAAACAGGAAGTAGAATAATTGTTATAACAGAAATTAAACTTTCTAAGATAGACTATTTGTGCCAGTTACTAACTTATGTAAAGTAAATTTATTTAATGTTCACCTTTCAGACTTTACATAATGTACATTTAAACTGAGGACTGTGGATATAAATTAGTAGCTGGACTAGAAGTTCATGCATACAGCTGGAGTCTGGTTCAAGCAGGTAGAAAACCCCTTTAGCCACAGCCTGGCAAAAGGCACTCTTATTTAAACCCAACAGCAATTCCTCACCTAAATGGCCAAGTGACACAGTTTCCCAAAATATTAAAATCCAAGCAAGTACTGAAGAGGTCCCAGGTGAAATCTGGAATTGATTCCATAGACTTACAGACGCAAAGCCTTCTGGCTGTTCTACATGGCTACATCATATCAAATCGAACTGTTCATATGAACTACCAACACAATAACACTAAGCTGAGAGATGTTAACCTCTAGAATTCTCTAACTGACAAGCAGTAAAGCACAAAGTAATGAACACAAGATTGTTTCCAGAGTGTTGCAACCCAATATTTCTGCATGGAAAGAAATCTGAGAGGCTTTGCAGGTATTTGCAGACAGCTTGTGAATGGACCATTAATAATTAATTGCATCAACCTTCTATGTTTTGCACATAAAGGCAAGTTTGTTTTGTGATATAGCAGGTGGCACATTGTCTACAACTGGTATGAGAGTGTCAAAACTTTGCCATATTCCTAGTTGTTTTTACAACAAACCCTCCCTACAGAGGGCTGATTTTCTGAATCTAAATGTACAATAGAGTCAGCAAGGATTTATAATTATCTATAAACAATAATTATGTGCTTTGGAAGTCCTTTTCTGTGTGTTGAACTGTTATCATACTTAAAAAATTGCATTAGAAAAAACTTTCTGACATCTAATATTGCCATTTACATGTACCAGTGGGTAAAGAAAAAATTGTTAATCAAATTAATAAATTGAATGTTTACTCAGTCCACTTTGTACTTGTAACTCAAAGTTACAATTAAGACTTTTAAGCTCAGCTGTTACAACAGTGTCTACGTTTATGAACTATAAATAAGTCCCTTGGGGAAAACTGTGCATCTAGTGAGCAAAAGAATGAAATAAGATAACATAGAAAATAGAAAAGGGTCAGAAGTGGGATGAGCATATAAGTACACAAAGCACTTCTCTGCTTGAACTGTACATGTAGAACAAGCCAAATACTAATCAGTGGCTCACTTACTTTGACCACATGTTCATAGAGGTCTAACAAAGGGTCTACAGTATGAGAATTTTGAAAAATCCAAATTATGACATTTGGAAAAATCCAGTGTGGCCTTTAAATTTGGGGTTTCTGCAATCCACCCTTCCAAATTTGACTTTTAATTATTACATGAAACTATTAGTAGGTGGTTGACCATGCTGTTCATATCACAAAAACTGTGTCACACTCTCATGTGTGACATACACTGTTAAGTTAAGCATTGATCAATTGTTAGGCAAATAACTAAGTGTGAATGAAATCTACTTGTCTGCTAGTGTTATGACTCAAGTCACTTCTGTTTGTGCCAAACTATTTTAGAATCAAATTTTTGTTATACATGATGTACACAACATGTACCTTTCCACTACATTGAGTTACAATATTGACCTCTGTCATCTAAATGTAACAAGGTTTTTAAGAATGATATTAAGTATTAAGTGATTAAGGTCATTCCACTGAAATAGAACCTGCACTGAGATTTTTGTGAAATTTTGCTTATCGATTGTTTATATTATAGGAACTTAAATTTTGAAATAAAAATGAGGGGTCCCCATGTTCGTTTAGAAGCAAAAACACCTTGTTTATACCCATATAAATCCTTATAATAGCACCATGATTGTAGTTACGATTGCTTGCCAAATTCACGTTTCTGACAATTGCTTTTTGTTCTACACTGAGAATTGGTCCATATTTATTTTACACAGGGAAATTTATTACTCAATTCAAAACAACAGAAAAAAATGATAGGTCACCATACTCGTTTGCGAGAAAATGACGGTTTACCTCTACCGCGAGGTCCAGCTGTAAAGAAAAAGCTGCCATTTTTTAATGCGCACGCTAATCACACGTGAAATTATGCGCAGTAGGGATGCGCAATGCAATACTGGGGAATGACCTTAAATATAAAAGAATGTTGTTATGGAAATGGAACATCTTCACTTGCATGTAGACTAATCACTTAACTGTGTGAACTGTGACTATAACTACATGTATGACTTACTCTTTTCCAAAATTAAACATGACTTTCTGTTTCTTTCTAATAGACCTTCTATATCCCTCGTCCTGTGGTTGAGAGAGCTGTTTCACCTGAAATGATACATGTAACAAATGAAATGCAAATGATTCAAGTACATGTACATACATACCTACACTATACAGAATATGCAACAAATTCAAATGATACATAATGTAACTAACATTTTGTAGGCAGTTGATCTGCGTTATGTTGATACATGTACCACTTGTTGCAAGGCATGCTGTACGCCATTAGTCTAATATACATTTAGTAACTCATCTGTTACTTATCAGAGCTTAACTTACATGTAAGTTTCTAAAACTATTGATCTACATGTATGTCGTAAATGTAAGGGTAAAGTGTGTGTCGGACCAAGTGGTCTATACCGCCAGAGCTTATCTCGGTATAAATAGTGTCAAGCAACAAGGAGTATTTCTACTCCCATCTGGATGCAATGCTACAGTAGTTCAGTACATTGAAGAGCAGTTTTACCTGGAAGAGGTGTGGGAATGATATGAAAATAAACCATTATATACAGACTCTGTACATTTATTTATCAGCATGTAAAGAAAGCCTTGTCCAATAGTTCAGGACTAATGGATCTTGTTTCCAGGCTAATGGATTTTATCCCTTGCTTGCTTGACAGGAGAGTGATATTATTTGAAGGTAGGATCAAATTAATGCTTAATTTAAATTTTTAATAATCAGTTAAATATACTAGTGAGAGAGAGAATATTTTTGGGCTAGTACATTCCAGTGACTTAACTGATCGTGAGAAACTTACATTATCAAATGACTCTCTCAGCTGTTTCATCATTGTTCTTTGATCATTTCAGAAACTGGCAGCAATATTACCTTTTGTAAATTTATTTTTAGAGTTGCCACAGGTAGGTAAAGTCACATGATAGATTTTGACCAGGCAGGTGCTCTAAGTTATTTTACATGATCATGACAGGCAGGTCCACTGAGAAATTTCAATTCTTATTTTGGATGCCAAGGATATTCTTCCATTTTAAATCTTGAAATTGAGAAACACACCAAATGAAGCATGTATTGTGAAATTTTATTCCACCTAAAAGCTCATTGAGGCAATTATAAAATTCATAACAGTCTTGGTACAGTTCACCTGTGTCACCAGGGTTGGATGAAGGCTCCTATTGTTCAACCCACATTGTATAAACCTATTTTTTTCACTCACCACAAGAGTACGGAAAAAAGGGAATGACTCTTTCTCGAGATAGAAATTTCGAGAACCATTTGTTTTTACGTGACATACATGTACATGCAGGGTACTGAGTGACAAAATAATGTTTACATATACATGTACATGTAGTACATATCCGTCACCCTTCTTCCTGTAAGCAGCCATGCCAAAATAAAAATGTAGAGCCCTTGATGAAGATATTCAAGCATCAATCCATTCCCAGGAATACTGATTAAGCTTATCTTTTAAAACATTGATTTCGTTTTCGTCGTAAAATTATCTGTTTAATATTAAAAAGCCAGCTTGTTTTGAGACCAGATTGGGGGACATGAGCAGCAGAGTGAAGCAACTAATAGTAAACAAACAGCACAAAATTAAACAGCAATATAAATAATCACGGGCCCTAATGACGAACTCTGAATCAATCTGTATGTTAATGATATACATGTAAGATATAGTCGTTCTGACCTTACGCAAGTATTTTCTTCCCCAGAAAATCATCTTGTCGCGTTTGCGAAACCTTGGCTTTGGGGAACCTGGAGCTTCATTTGGGACCTCAACTGCAGTTAAATAGAGGAAAAGTATACAAAGCAAGTTCACTATGAAACAAAGCTG